TGGTCTACAAAAAGAAGCTCCTGTAGTGAATAGTGGCTAGTAACACAGTTTTATTTGAGTCAATTACACAATGTGGGGGGATTAAAGAATCAAACAGCTGAGCTCCTGTTGAGCACAAATTAGAGGAGGTGGCCTGAGATGTGTCCATCAGCTGTGACAGTCCGGCCACATTCCTTTGTTATGTGCTGTGGGACGGGCCTTCCCCTTCGGAAACTCTCCCTGACTGTGGATACAGCTGTGAAGAGGGCTCCACTGACCACAGCTACAAAAGGCATGGAAAGACAACACATGGTTTACACAGGAGAGGGAGGACCAGCGTGGGGAGTGGGTTTGTGAATGGATGACGGCCAAGTTGACAGTGCACGTTTTAGGATCTCCAGTAGATGTATGGTTAAATGTATGTGAAGGGGGAGGCAGACAGAGAGCAGAGCAAGTAATTCATCTTTAAAAGGGCAGATTCCTGTGTGATGTATGGTGCACAGACTGCCCGTGTGCATGTGCGTTGTGGATTGTAAAAATGGGCGTGGGAGGTGTAAGTGAGCCAGCAACAACTCCTCTTATCGCTCCACAGAGCAATGTGGAGAATGAGAACTCTGGAGCTGCTTTACTGATCAAAGACAGACACTGAGGCTGATAGAGAATCTACCTTGTGCCATGTGCTGCTGGGGGCACCTTCATGACAAGCACAAGCTTAAATGATTAGAATACATTTCATCAATGCAGGACATAAAATAAATCAAAGATGATGTTAAAGCCTATAAAATATGCAACTGATGATGACATTAAAGATTTTTAAATCTATTTACATAATTATGCATTTTACAAATGAGTGGAGTTGTAACTGACTCCAGCACAGCCTCATCACGATTCAGAAGCATCACAATGAGGCTCTGAGCCTATAGTGTGGAGCTGGTGTGCTGTGTGGGAGCGTGCGTGGAGGGTGTGAGACATGCTGATTCTTTATGTATCCATCTCTACAGTCCTCTCATCGGATCCATCCAGGTGCCAATGTAACCACTGTGATGTGATGTCTTTGTCTTATAAAGTCCACATCCACAGTACAGTGTGTACAGTCAATTTTTTCATCAAGTATGTCTGCTATCCTCTGCCTGTGTCCCTCCCTCATTTCTCTCTCTCTCCTCCTCAGCTGTGAGCGTGAGTGGTGGGGCTGCGGGGTGCTTGTTATCCAGCACCTATCCAGACATCCCTCGGCTGGGAAGCCAGACAGGCAGACGAGGTAAGAGGCACACACACAAAAGATGAGTGGAGCTCCACCAAGACTGACAGCTCAGCAGCTACTGCACAGACTCTGACAGGCCGAGGGGAGAGCAGAGAAATGGGAGTGGACACGAGCGTCCACAGAGACAGCGAAGTCGTGTGACAGGAAGATGGAAAGGCTCAAAGTTAGAGACTCCCAAACAGAAGACTGTCTGAGGCAGGATGCACAGGAAGCAGGCAGACAGGCAGAGCAGCCACAGGAGCAGGTTATCACAGCCTGCTGTTTAGCAGCCCGTCAAGCTACAAGCAGCTACGAGCCCAGCATCCCAACAGGCCAGAGGGTCAGAGAGAGGAGACAACACTGCCCCTGTCTGGGCCTGTCACTGTACTGCAGCTCTTCACACATACTGAGATGTACACAATACAAAGTTAATCACTGCTGAGTCTGTGTGCCAATACAACTCTGTACAATATGTTACAGTATAGGCACTATTGTACTGTGTTCCATGGCTAAGCGTTTGCCATATAGTGAGGAAGAGTATGAGCGCCAAACCTGGCTGCTTCTAATCACTCCGTTTCAGCAAATCCTGATAGTCTTTCCCTCTGCTTACCAGATGTGGTAACTCTACTGTTCTCCAAAAAACTGTGCCAAATTTTGATCATGGCTCCCCATATTTGAATTCATAAACACCAGAAAATGAGTCATCCTTAAGATTGTCTACAAAAATTAGAATGTGCCTGTAATTAGTTATACGAATTTTTGGAAATATTGCACAAGTAGGACTTGTGAGATTCATCACGTGATAGACAATATGCTGTTTGGTCCAGTGTCAACTGCAGTTGATCCACTCTGTAGCCTTGATACTCTTCAAATAAACTAGCCAAACACCTCCACTACTCAACTCCAACAGGCACCTATTCATGAGAAGAAAACATCTTGGACCAACAGTTTTCTAAAGGTCTCACAATTACCACCTTTTACCCATTTTCACAAGTGCCCGGAAGATAATGGCTTAATTTACCGGAATCATAGTGAGGAAGCCAATTTATGTTTTTTGCTCTGGTTGTGGTTAACCAACCGCAGGCATCCTCCTGTACTTGCCAAAATACCATACAGGATCAATCATGAGCAAGTCAAGAGAATGACCAAACAGCCAATCCCCAAAGAAAGAAGGGATGGAAACAACTGGAGCTGAGTCACAGAGAAAAACTGTGTGTAAATGTCTCAAGTCAGGTTTACTAACAACATGGGGGGCATTCAAATGATTCTACACATCACACACTCAAACTGTTATACTGCTGGCAGGATAGTGATTAAATAAGATTCAGTTTGCAGTGCACATTTTAAGCTGCTCTAGGAGTGCTAACACATACGAGCACACTGAAACATGAACTGCTGAACTAATAAAAGAATTACGTGCATTTCATTTTGTAGAAGTTTTGCAGGATCCCAAGAACGGGGCATTTAATTTTATGCAGAGGACATCACATTACGCAAAAAATGTGCTTCTTCAAATTGCTATTGTGACACGATCAGGCCAACTAATGCACTTTATGCAAAATCAACATACTATTCTCCAAGTGTACCAGGTTCTCAGAGTTGGAGTATATGAAAATAATCATACAAATGTTGTTAAATCTCTCACACTTCACACAGTGGATAGTCACATCAAATCAAAGAAGTACATGCTCAAAAAAGGGAAAAGGCTGCATCAATTACAAATAATGTTGACAACATCGCCTTCAAGACACATTACCTTTTTAAGTACTTTGGGTAGTTAACTTCATGATTTATTGCTTACAGAAAATGTTTTATGCAAATCAGAAGTTAGGTGTAAAATTGTACACGGTGAATCCTCCAAAGACAAAGCATTGGTTCTGTGGCATTTTAAATTCTATACAGATGTTTTTTCCTCATGTCAAAACTTTATTCTGAACCACTTATGCTGAAATATTAAGAGCTTTGACTGCTGCGCCAAAAAGCCTTCTGGCAACATTTAAACCCCAGAATAACTTTTTAGAAGTAGGATATAACTGCACAGTCATGTCTCTTTCTGGGTTAAATAGTTCTCTGCAGTTCTCAACAGTGAGGAGGTGAGCATTCGGCAGCAGAGATTAGCAGGAAAAATGGCCTTAATGACAAATGCATCAATCTGCTCCTGCAAAGTCCTGGCTTTGGTTAACTGTAGGAGGCCAACCACAACCAGGCTTCCCAATTCCTCCTGGTGGTCTTCCTGTGCCAGACTAACAAACCATTATGTTGCCAGATAAATAGCAAGAGAAAACACGGTATCATGGTAAGTATATCTGGAACTTATTTAGAGGGTCGAGTCATAACTGAGAACCAAACCTATTAAAATTAACTAGGAGGCACAAAGAAGTTGATTACTTTGTATTGCAGTCAGAGCTGGACATTTCTAGCTTCTGACAAAACACAAGGAAAGATTCAAGTATGACATTAAGCAACACAACAATAATAGTACAATATTGGTGTCCGATTTTACATAGTAAGTAAGTAGTATTAGATTTTATGAAATTTAACCTAATTAGGTCTTTTATCCTCTAAATTATTCAAGCAGAGTAAGAACAAGTAAAATGCTATTTATATTGTGCCCTGACTGTCTTCTAACTGACAAAAAGTTAACTTTGCACCTATGAACAACAATTAAAGCTGATGTTTTTGTATAGCCAAGTTAACACAGTCCAGATTAACAGAAAACATCTAACTGCCCAACAACAGAAAAAAAAAACACAGTAGAACAAAGTCAGAGGCCATCCATATTGTGAATGCAAGCAACAGAACTTTGTCTTACCACAAAACCCATGTACATTTCTGTACAAAGGATCAAACACACTGCCTTCATTGACACTGTGGACATGAATGTAGCAGTAGATGCAGATGGAGGTAATAACGTCATCTAACGGGAGCAGGCTACAGCCAATGCATTTACAATCAAACAGTGAACTCGTATGTCTCTCAAGTCCTTGGTAGTGAACCCAGTGAACTCCCATAGGTGTGTGAACGGGAATGGAAAGATCAGAATGTTACACCAACTGCGCCATCTAGTGACGAAAACCTGAAATTACAACCAAGTTTGAGCTCAAGCATCGTCACAACTTTATGTTTTATCATGGGAAGAAAATGTATTTATTGTGGTTGCATAAATCAAAATGAGTTTGCATACAGGATACTTTTAGGTATTTTAGATCTTGATTCAAACAATGATGCAGCATCTTGTTTATGATGGTGGTTCAGTGATTGGCAAATTAAAATACCACGTAGAGGTCCACAAGTGATAAATGTAAACAATAAAAAGTTACATCTTGCTCTACAGAGTAACTTATTACAACATCTCAGACACATCAAAACACAGAAAACTGATAAAACAACTTCTGAAATACTAGCCTAACAAGAAGTATGTGATGAAAACCAGTAGTAACGGAGCAGCAGAACAGGAAAGCGTGTCAGATAACTCAAATCATTCACAGTTTATACAGGATTAAAAGAAATATTAAGCCTGAATGTAAAATATATATCATTAATAAAAGCTGTGATTAAAAAAATATCTAATAACTCGGCTTTGACTCATACACTCAGCTTTGACCAAAATTTAGTGCATACATTGATAAGAAATTAAACTGAGAATCCATAAGGAGGTCACTAAAACTGTAAATTTATCTAGATATCTAATATAAAGATCTAGATACGGGCATCTAGCATGAACTCCAACACTCAGTCTTCAGCATCTGAGAATTGGCCTGGTTCAGTGCGGAGTTTGTACCTGAACCAGTTTATGGGCTGCTTGTGGTACATGGCTGGGTTGTACTTGCTGCTGGCCACTTGCCACAGAGGTAAAATGGTTCGTTCCAGGCTCAGATCTCGTAGAGTGAAGGTTATCACATCCTCTGGTCCTAGAAAAAATAATTTGCAAAAATAGTATGATCACTGATAAATTATTATTGGTAGATTGAATAACATAGACTGTCTTCTTATACAGACAAAGGCATCTCACTCAGGAGCAATATCAACGTGTATCATCATCATGTAATGGAATTCAATAGCAAGAAAAACAAGCTTAAAAACTTGCCCCTTTCAAGTTCAAGTTTTGGAATCCATCTAAACCAAACAAAGTTTCAGCATGTTTCATCTGTACTCAAGGAGCTACCAACAGACAGGTGCCAGGTAATGAGAGAGGCCTATAATGGAGTCCCAGTCCATGTCACAGTGGCAGGAAAGGAATTTGAGGACAATAAGAATTCAAACTGAAAGGGATTTTGTTTTAAAATAGATTGATGGTTCTACTTCTACCAAGAAGAAACAACACATCTACTGATCCTATCACAACTATACAGGTTTTCACGGTACACATCTTTCTCATGAATCAACAAAGATAACCAAGTTCAGTGCAAATCAATGTTATTGTTGCCTTTACAAGTGTGTTTCATGGGCTGCTCTCAAGAACGTTGAAATTTAGGAAGTCTGATGATTATGTATGAGTTTTTTTGAATACATGAATACAGCATCAGACCACCTTCTTTTCTGTACTTTAACTGTACATTTGGAGGTCAAAGGTAAAATCAGTAGTGATGGTTGTGATTGATATATAGTTTGATGGTTTATTTTGGACCCACGGTCCACTCATGTTAAAACATGGGAGCACATGAGTAAAAAACAAAAATGACTGAAAAACTACACCACTTCTGTCAAACACACAAGTGAGTTTGCTGGCAAAAAATGGAAATTAGTTTAACATGTTTACATATAATTCATATGTTCATATGCTGCTTTCCTTCAAAAAATAAACTTTAAAAATTGTCTTTTTCTGAATCATAAAAAATATTCAAGAGATGTAATTTGCATTTGAGAACAGTGGCCATACCAGCTTGTCAAACACTGATCCCCTCAGATCTCAGAAGCTAAGCAGGCTGGGCCTGGGTAGTACTTGGATGGGAAATCGCAAGGCAAAAAACTGTCATTGTGTCCTTAGGCAAGACACTTCACCCACATTGCCTAGTATGAAAGTGGTGTGTAGATGAGTGATGATGGTGGTCAGATGGGCCGATGGCACAGATTGGCAGCCTCACTTCCATCAGTCTGCCCCAGGGCAGCTGTGGCTACAATAGTAGCTTACCACCACTGAGAGTGAATAATTAACTGTAAACACTTTGGATATCTCGAAAGGTACTATATAAATGCAATCAATCAATTAATATCTATTATGATAACTAATATAGAGACAACTCTGGCTGCTTATTGCATTAATTGCCAGAAGCCCACTTGAAAAATACCCATAGATATAAACATTTTTGTAGGGTGTGTGTTTACCATATGGGTGAGTCCCAAAAGACAGCTCTTCCCAGTTACTGAGTTTAACCTCTTGGATTTCGTGTTCCCAGTCTTCTGTGAGGTTGGGTATGGTGTTTTCAAGAGGGGCAACATGATTATTCCTGCAAAGATTAGAGTGTGAAAGAGTTTAAATGTATGTATATAAATATATATTTACCATGTGTTGATATTGCCTCATCAGGGACAGTACCTTTTCTTATACAATGGTTTCTTCTTTTTTCTCAGGGCCTTGATTGCTGTTGATTGGTCAAGTGTAGCTGGTTCTTGTGTAGCTATAGTAGAAGACAGTGGCCCTCTTCCCAAACCTCTGGACCCATTTACCAAAACACTACAATTGCATTCAGATTGTTTTGCACTGGAACAGTAAATGGTCTTCTTACTTTCTTTTCTGGACACAGAGAGCGTTTCATGGCTCTTGCTCTTGAAGCCATTCTTGACATGTCCATTCACCATGTTTCTTGGAGTCCTATCATTGTGTGTAGCAGCTTGTGTAGGATCCATTGTTCTGGGGCCATTTTTGCCACAATGCATGGTACCACTGACCAAGCCTGTGTCCTGGACCTGATCACTGCACACACCATTGCTTTTGTAGCTGTAGCGGCGTGGCTGTTTTCTCACACAGTTTGACTCGGATACAGGCATCTTCACCCTGTAAAGCAGGTTGCACACTCGGGAATCAAAGTCGCGATATAACGCTACAACTGATGACTGATTAACACATGTATGTGCACCATAATATATAATTTAACCTTCATCAACTAAATGACAGCTCGCACTCACATCAGTGTTTGTTTGTTGGTTACACCCTTATCATCAGAAGGCCCCCTAGTCAGAAAGCCCACTAGTCAGAAAATTATTACCCCTTCTATTGGTTTGTCAGCAACATATATCTTGAACAATTGAATGTATATTTGATGAAAGCAACAGGGAATAATCCCTGGATATCAGGAAAGAATTAGTAAACTTTTGGATGTATACCAATTAAAAATGGCTGCAACATCTAAATTTTTAGAGATATTGACAGGAAAACGCATAATCATGCATAACAGCATTAGCTAAGGCCAGCATTACTTAATTTGTTGGTTTACAAGCCCACCAATGCTATATTAAAAGAAAAAGATTTAAAATAAAATTGAAATGAAGGTTATAGAGCTCGAATTACTGAACATTTTGCAAGTTGATTATTAACCTTGTTACACTTAAGACAGCCATTTCCACCCAAATCATTATTTCCTCAAACATTTTTGCTGTATTTTAAGGGTTTAATATATTTATTACTTTTAATATTTACTTTTAAAAATATTTAAAACTTGAAATACTATTTCATTAGTAACAATTTGTAACATTACCTGAACATGGATTTTCTGCCTAGAGGGTCTTCTGATGATAAGGCTGACCCCTGTTTGTTAGTTAGCATAACAAGCTAACGAGACCCCTTTAGCTGTCTGCGGTCGGCGTGATGAGTTAAGTTTATAAACTTCAAGCTTCAAAAATCTGTTCCAAATTTAGCATAGTTCCGTGTCTTTTGTCCATCATGTTTGTTTTTACACTGTTTTCTTACCCGCTGTGGTCCGCACGCCGCCGCTCGGTGTGGCCCCAGGTCTGAGTGTCCAGGACAAAAGGGGCGTAGACCTACAGTCTGTGCCTCTCATGTGCGCTGTCATTTCATTTTATCACCCCAGTATACTATTATTCATTTATTTATACTTATCACAGTCTTCTATGGGTGACAACATTTTTTATTGAATTTTTATGTGATGTTATGTGTGTAAACCAAACAGATTTTGGCAGAAGTTGGCACGAGGCTGGAGGGCACATAGACCGTATATAATGTATGTGCGGGCATCGCAACTGAAGGTCATTTGAAGAAGACTTTATGTTTAAAAGCATAATAACATAACTTTATAATTGGACGGAATCCAGGTTTACTAATTAATGTGGACTGTCATTTTATTAGATTTAGTAATTACATGTTTTATGCAAACCATATAAAAGTTTTCATAGAAATGAGTGGAGTGGCACATTTACAAACCGTCATTAAGAATAATTACAACATTTACAAGTCAAGTCAATATGACAACTTTAAATGCATCTTCAAAAAATGTAAACAGTGGCTGTTTATGTGAATGACATCCAAAGGCACAGACAAACAGGTGACACATGCAAATGCAGGTTTTTGTGCAAGGAAGCAAAACATAAGTTTGTATATTTTTACAACAGATTGAAATATTCAAACCATATTTTTGTAACATAATATGCTATATTCTGTCAAACAAATTCACCCACAAGAAGCCTTTATAGCATCTATACCAGTTAAAGATTGTTTTAATTTGTTCGTTTTTGATCCTTGTTTCTACACGCGACACCTTTTTTTTTTCACTCCACAGTGATTTTATAACAAGTTAATAAGAAGTCCATATATGTACCAAAAGTTATGAGAGATGAAACTGAGTGTAACCATGTTAAAGTGTCTTCCAGTCTCACTTATTACATACTTCAATACACCATGAACATTCAAGTTGTCCATAACAGTGCAACATTAGTGCATCTCATCTCAGCGTGTCTGTCAGGCACATAACTGTACTCTAATCTACATTTGAGACACTCTTTATTGCAACCTGATGCATAAAACATGTCTCTTTACCATCTAAAGCCCACATACAAAATCCTTATTGAACTGATTGACCTTTCTTTTTCTGGAAGACATATTTTATCAATTAGCAAAGACATTTACTTTCAGTTTTCACTCACTTTCTCATCAGACCTGCCTACTTTAAGACACTGCCTTTTCCCCTATGTCCTTTCCAACGCCTTCACAATACAACATAATAGTTAAAACAAACCGTACATATACGGAACAGTAGATACTACCTCCATGCCTATTACAGAGAAGCTTAAAAGCCCTGTCACAATGTCTATGCTGAAGATCCAGTATAGTACATGAAAATTATCTTGTGGTTCCAGTTTTACTGTGGGACAGTGCAGTGTAATGACTCAAACAACCTTCTTCATCTCCCATCAAGAATCTGTAAAATCAGTAGCATATTTTTCACTGTACAAAATCACCAAATGACTGGAGACTGGAGATTGCAGCAGCAGCAGTCTGGAATTAATTGCTGGTTCATACTTAAAAAAAATCCTCTTCAGATCAAGTGCATTTTACCCCATAAACAGCAGGGGGAGGTGTTCATCCATTACAGTCCACTTCCAAAGCTTTGGTAAAGTTTTCCATCAGTTTCAAGTTGATTGACTGGAACAACCACCATTGTCCGATTGGGAAGAGCTTTGTCACTGCTTTATCTCCAGTATGGAAGGATTGTGGTCCAAGATAGAAAGAATTATTTTGTCCATGTACTGTCGCAGTCGAATGTTGATTTCCTCCTGTTCTTTCAGAGCTTCCATAAGCTGCCAACAGAGAGTTTATTGAGATATGATATATGTGCTCGACCTTTTGGACATTGTTTTACATCTACACTTGTTGGTTCAAAAGCCTTATTATCAAATTACAAAGCTTAATTATGACTACCCGATAATAATATTCGATAATGGACTGAAAACTTGCCTGGTCCCTCGTGGCATTATCTATCTCAGCAGCAAGTGACTGAGCCTTTGTCTGTGTGGCAAACAGGTTCTTGGCTTCATGAAGACTGAGACTGAGGATCTGGCCATTTAAATCCTCATTCTGCTCTTTTAGCTTCTGGTTTTCCTGAAATAAAAAAAAACAAAAAAAAACATTTAAATTGACAGTTAAAAAGATGCGTTCTCGTACACTATTGAAGCCTCAGTCAGTCCATACACACAGTGTTTTGACACAGGATTAGCCACAGCATTGCAGCTCTATGTGGGCAGCAGCTACAGGACATGACACAGGTTATGTGTGTTACAAAAACAAACTACTGTGCTCTGTCTGGGGGGTTACCAAAGCTCTGTGTTAAAATTGTACGGCAGTAAGGTCATTTCTTCTATTTTGCTGTCACATACCATTAATGAAGAGATTTGGAGATACAGCATAAATCTTTAGAGCACTGAGCATTTTAATCCTACTTTGTGAAGATTAGTAGTTAATTGGGGTGTTACAAATATAAATTTTACCATTCGACTGGTAAGGAGCCAAGCTCCAGAAAGCACCAGGTGTTGGGATTCAGGGTCCTGAGACACAAATGGCTAAACATATATTAGACATTTATTTAGTTTGAGAAAATATGTATGTATATCACTGTCTTTATGGGTTCTATGGGTTTCCTCTTGGATTATGTTTCAATAATTAGGTTTTGGTTTATGTATAACTGCATTTTGGACCAATACACAAATTGTGATTATAATGTAAATGTATAAGTTGTCTCTTCTTCAGTGTTGAGTTTGATTGTCAGCAGTGCAGGAAGTACCTGTTTGTGCCTCTTGACCTCGTGCTCCAATTCCACCTCTCTGCTCCTGCTGCTGAAGTCTGACAGACTAGAGGACGAGCTGCGCCCACGACCTGGCCGCTCCGCCTCCATTTTAAACAGCTGCAAATGCTCCAGCTCTCGTCGAAGGTCCTCTATCAGCTTTATATGAGAAGGCACAAAACAGCAAGAGTTGTGTAAACCCAGAGATAACTATATAACTTTAAAATGATATTTAAATCTCTCACCTCCTGCATGGCATCCTTCTCTTTCTGAAACTGTTGTCTGTTCTGTCGCAGTTTGTCCATCATTTTCTTATAAAGATCCATTTCATCTTTGAGCCGCAGGCTAGTGTCCTCCAACTTATCCGTCATTCTTTGCTTCTCCTACAAATATATTTAGACATTATGCTAAATGTTAATTTTTTTATAAATGTTATTCATATCAACCACTAAAATAGTGTATCCATTATATTCTTGAATGTACCTCATCCAGTTTTTCAGTCTGGGATTTCAGCCGGGACAGATTTAAAGCCATATCACCGTTTTCCTCCTCTAACTGCCTCACCCTGAAAAAAGCCCCAGCCTTTATAATAGGTCCTTTATTCTTCATTTAACAGTACAATAAGAACACCATATTCTGTGAGCATTTACCACACTGATGTATGTTTGAGTAATCATGTACAAAAAAAACCACAAGATGTCTTCTTGAATAAATTGGACATCTTCACCTGTTGCTTTGTAGCTCTATCTGCGTGTTCTTGTCTTTTTCCATTTTGCTGTAGGCCTCTCGGTGTCGTCTCAGCTGCAGCTCCAGGTTGTGTTCTGCTTTTGCTTCCTGGTCCTTCAGCTGCTCCTCCAGCTCATTTACTCTGATGGTATTCATAATTACCTTTAAGCACTTCATGTAGTGTAATAGTGAATGATATACTTTGAATTGTTAGTACCTGTGCACTAGTTGAGTGTTCTCCAGTTTTAACCTTGACTTAAGGTCGCCATTAATAATGATCTCATTCTCCAGCTCTGACACTTTCTTCTCAAGGAAGCTGACCTGTACATTTGAGAAAAATATATTTATAGACAGATCTTTTGAAATGTAAAATAATAAAAGACATATAAAATGCATACCTTTTCATTAATGTCAATGTCACAGGAGTCAATGCTGTCTCTGAAAAGATCTTCTGTGCTTCCATTGCTGCTGCTCAAGTTGCTGTTATGGAGCAGTTGTCTGTTGGAAAACATGTCAGAAGAGCCTCAGAACAGAGTTGTATATTTCAGTTTTAACTGTGAATATATGAAAGTTAGCTGGTTGGATTTCAAGCATAAAACTAAATAAACGGCTGTCACTTCCAATTATTTCAAATCACAGCTTTATTTCAAGTGACCAGAAAGAGAACAGGAAGCAAAGGAAGAGAACAGAGGGGCAGATAGGAACAATAAAAGAGAAGAAGTAATGAAAGCAGACACAGAGGACAGTGGAGTAGAGGAAGGAGGGCTTTAGTGTATATTGGAAACATAGATCAGGTCTGACAGGGCATTTTTACTCTGTCACCATAACTCATTTACTGTGGGTGGACACTGGACATTTTACTTTGCACAGACCATAAAAGAGATACTTCAATTTAAAGGGCAGATTATTTCTACCACGATCATGCACACAGTACTTTAATCTGCAACCAGTTTGTTCACTTGCACTCCACTTGTTTATTTTAGCTGAATATCCAGTTACTAATTAACTCCATGTTGCAGCACAGTGCACCACAGCCGACTGATAACAGAGCTAAAACGTCTGGTTTGTGTGTATATAGAACAGAAGGAGCAAATAAGGCTACCTTTAAAAGGACTTACAAAGGAAAAAATGACCTTGTTAAAGGTGCACTGTGTAACTTTTCTGGTGGAGGTTCCGTCAAATGCTTTTCTTCATGGAGTGTCTTCATGTTATTGCTTTGTCTGAAATGTTTCACAGTATGTCATTAAATCTTTCTATCTTCATGGAGACCAAACCAGACCAAGTTCCAAGTCAGTTATAATGCATGTTTACAGGTGTTTTTGAGCCATAGAACACCTGTTATCGAGTAATGTAAGGTGGATCTATTTAATGTCATACTGTGAAAATTCTAAGCAGAGCAATGACATATCCATAGAAACAAGAAGGTGTCGGATCCCCCATTGAAAAGTTATACAGTGCACCTTTAAACTTCACTTTGGATGTACACTGAATTCAGGAAGAAAGTATAAGAATGTAAAATACCTTCCAAAAGCCGTGCTGGAGATTTTCCTGCTGGGACTACAAAAGAAAAAAAAGTGACAATAAAAAAATACAGAAACATAAATTGTGCAGGGTCTGGTATGAACAATAAGATTTCACATTAGAACAGCAAAATGAAACAGCACACATAAATGGAAATACAATTGTGCTAGAGAATCTTTCAGTGAAGTCAGCAGTAGCAGTCTCGAGCAGAGAGGGTAGTTCAATGAGATCTTTGCTCGGCTCCAAAATGGATTATCAATAATTAACAAAAACTCCACTGCTGAAGCTAATTTCTTTTTGATGTAGTCATTAAGACACTAATATTCCTGGTAAAATAAAAAAGGGTTAATTTAATAACAGTAGCCAATTTGCTTCCATTAACTTTGCATGAAACTAATATAATGTATGCAGAAAGTAGGCCAAGTGAAAGTAGTTCCAATCAATACATACTTTTCATCGATTCAAGCTGGTGCAATCGCCTTTGTTTTGAATCATGAGTGTTATAGAAGATTCATTATTTTGGGTTGAGCTCTCCAATGGAATATTCCAGACAAAATTGGGGACAAAGTATGCTTACATGGCTCTCACTGAATCTAATGGGATGATAATGTGGTTGCGTGAGGTACTATTGTGTTCCCAGGTACACAGCGTAGGTCTGATTGGTCACTCTGGATTATGATGGATAAGAATAGGCTTGTAATAACAATAGTAGATGAGGTAAGCACTGGACTGCTTTGTATAATACACTATTAGAAATTGTGTGCACACATCACACTGCCTCATAAACTGGTGTGATTCATAATTAATCATAATTAATAATCATGCATTTACTATTAGAAATAATCAATGTATAAATTTAATAAGCAACTGCATGCATTTGAATTATGTCTAAATGTAATGGTAATTATATGAATAATAACACACCAAACTGGGAATTTTGCATATTTTGTTTTAAACCCCACCTTTCATTAACTTTGTTTTTTCTTTTGTTTGCCCTCGTTTGTCTCTTCATGTAAAAGCATCTTTGAATATCTTGAAACGCACTATACCCGTGTTATGTATTATTATTATTAAACCGGGGCAGTGGCATATCTGATCTACCATGAAAGCAATACGTCACAATTTAGGTGAATGTGTGTTAATAATCCAATCTACACAGCAGTAAAATGTATTGTATCCATTGTCAATAAAACCACATACTACATACCTGTTTGCCTTGAGGTTTTTCAGCCGTGCCTCCAGGTCATTGAGGAGGTTGACCTTTTTGCTGCACTGGGAGCAGTACACATCCATTAGCTCGCCAGTGTAATGCTGACGCACCTTACGAGGAGTTTGACCCGCACTGCAAACACACACACAATGCGCTTGATTCAATAACTGTGTAGATGCCATTTTGAAGAGAACTGGCTTCGATTTGAACCCACATGACCACTTTAGACTCCAACTCTCCAGTATGACAGGCAGAGCTCCACTTGGACTTATCTTTACTTACCAGAGTAACTTTGCTAAAGGCTTGAAAATATGACCCTCATTTTGAATTTAAATATTGGAGCCAACTTGAGTTGTGTCTGCTTGGTATGCGAGAAGCGAACAAAGTGAGTTCTGCCAGTCTATCAACCAGGAGACCTAATCCCATTAAACACAGACTTTTGATGAATTTTAATGTGGCCTTAAGGGCAGAAGCTACTAAGCTACGCTCACATATTCAGGAGGACTGGAGGTAATATGACTCAGGTAGTCAATTTGGAACTTCTACAGGGGAGATCATAACAAACAATGTAATTCTGGCATTTGTTATTACAGAGTGGCATTTAAGGGAGAGACTTTGCAGTGACCTTTTTATTTAAGAGGATTAGATTGTTTTCATTGCAGAATTTACCTGGAGGAAACAGAGGAGCCAAGGTCTGAGTAGCCGTTGGTGCGAGTGTCGTCGTCTGGACAGGGACTGCTGGGAGCGTAGTCTGGCTCCTCCCCTTCGCCGTAATCCTCAAACTGTTCCTCGTTCAGAGAAGCAGAAGAACGTGTGGAGAGGTCAGAGGTCACCGAGATACTGGTCTGACCGCCCCTAGAAATAACACAGAAGAGCACATTTTAATAGTCAATATGCATGAGTAATTTTGTGATGTTCCAAGTGAGATAATATTTAAATGCAAAATGCATAATGAAGACATGAATACAGTGTGAGCTGTTTTTATATAAAAAGGCATTTTTATAATCTACATACAGCATGCATATTAAGGATTTAAATGGCAACAAAGCTTTTTAAAACCTACTGATGTTCTTTCCATAAAAATGTAAGATGCATGTGCTTTCTAATATTTCAACAGCATTTAACATAAATATCTGTGCATCCCTCAGTCAAAGTAAAAGAAAATTTAAATTCAAATATTTTGTCCCAGTGAATTTTTTTGTGAAATTGTGAAATTTGTGAAATTGCTACAAAAATGTTTCAATATCAATATTTTAGTACCACCCAGTGTTAAGAGCATTGCAGTTGCTGTTAAGTGGCTGCAGTTAGAGGTTGACGATAAAAAATAAAAATTGATTGTTTTTTCTACAGGTATTCCACAAATGTGAACGGAATATTAAAGGTCCTATACAAAGTGGATTCTTGTAATCTTTTGTTATAATGTTGTAACCTCCTCAAAAACATACTCAGAGTTGTGTTTTGTTTCATTACACATTAATCTAAGTAAGTAAGATAAGTAATTCATTACATGTGTAATCTGTTATCAGTATTATCTGTCTACATTTCCAAAGCTCAAAATGTTCTGTTCAACCTTGTGATGTCATGAAGTGATTGTTTTTAAGTTAACAGCATTATCTAGTAGAGATTTGCAATTTCAAGGCGGAAATGATTCTAGTCAATGTGGTACTGAATTGCAAAACACACTTCCTGTATTACCTCAGTGTTTTTGGTTTGAAAGAAGAACTCTCAACTCTATACAGGGTTTGTGTCTTAAACAGGTGTGAATGAAACAAAACACAACTTCATGTATGTTTTGTGGTGGGCTCTTTATATCAACCAAATGCAACAAGTGTCAGTGTTACTTTTATATTTTATTTTTTAATTTTGTTATCTGTTTTTTGTTCTTATACACAATATTCTAAGTTTCCTTCTCTAGTTGCAGTAGAATGTGGGGCTTACTTGTCCCTGTGAAAGAACAGCTCTCCCAGTGCGTCCTCTTTGTCTCCCGCTCTGGCCGGTCCCTCTGAGGTGTCTGAGCCTTGGGTGCTCTCCACTGCACTGTCTCTGTCTGACTCTCTCTCCTCCGGCTCATCCACCTCTGTGGGGAACAGCTGGCACTCAGGGACAGGTTCAGGGTCAGCCCGAGTGCACATGATGACCGGACACACCCGCGCCTCCTCTTCACTGCCCTGCGAAGCGGGTAGGTTTTAGGCTCTCAAATTATAAGATGATAGGGCCTATCACGCAAAACTTATAGTGATATTCATACCACAAATGCAGGCGTGAACAAAATAAATTAAATGTTACAACTGATATCTTACTTGGGATGAAAAAAAATCTTAAAGGTCCATATTACACTATCCTCTGATCTCTGCTATAATGTTGTTTTCTCATCACAAACATACCTGGAGTTGTGTTAAGTTTCCTTCACACATGTTTAACACGTAAACCCTGGCCTGCACCCTGCATATTTAGGCTGAGTTCTCTTAAACAGAAAATACTGATCCACCTTGTCTTGTCATGTTCATACAGGAAGTGCTCCACTGTGTTTTTAACCTGCATACACCTTCGCTAGAATCATTCGGATAATTGCAGCCCTGGAATTGCCGAGCTCTACTAGCAGCGTTTCTCAAATATGAGTGAATGAAAGAAAACACAACTCCAGGTATGTTTTGCATGAGTTAACAGCATTCTAAAATGGCGTAAAGCTCACAAGAGTCCATTTGGTCTAATATAGGATCTTTAAATTTAGGCATTTAACAATACATAAGAGTAATATATAAATTGTAATACTGAAACTATTTCATGCCACCAACACAATAATTCCAAAGCTGGTTGATCTCTGTAAATACTTAGCTAAATGAATACAGTAAAATGTTGTTGAAAGTAAAGTCAATATAGTTATTATTGTGACAGTCCTACAGGAAATAATACAGCCAGTTAACAAATGAATTTTTATGTATAGTTTTGAGCATGCATATCTACAATAGCACAGTGTATTTCAGGTTTTATGCATTCCATTGGTGTGGGAACAGTCTGAGGTTCACATAGCGGGAGGTCTCAGTCGGTTAAAGGGGAAAAGGTCAACGGTCACAGGAGCCAGTTCCATCAAGTTTCACTCTTAAAAGGCTCAGAAACTGCTTAATGCAGCAGAAAACACGGCTTTATCTTGGCATGAGACGTAGGGGCACAAAGACTAATTGAAATGGTAAAATTTGTTTAAAAAAAAAAAAAAAAAAAAACAGACTAAATAATGAGGAGAAAAAGAGTAGACGTAACAAAGAATGAATGAAAAATGCAAAAGAATTAGCACTACATGGCATAAAAGGGTAAGATAATAAAGTCAGCAGGTTCAGAGGAGTATGAGAATTGCATTAGAGAACATTATAAGATCCAAGAGCCTCCTGATGTCTGGGAATTAATGTGGTAGTGTAGGAAGGTCTCTTCCTGTCGTGTACAATGTCTGTATCAAACTGCAGAAGGCATAAAGCTGGTTCAGTATTACACAGCATTACAAGATTGGTAGAAGTAGAAAATACACATTAAAATTTTTGCTACTAAACCTAAAACATAGGTTCATAGGTTCTATAGGATAATCTGTCAGTTTGCTAGCTCTTGATTTGGAGAATGGCCCTGAAATGCTTGTCCTCTGAACTGCAGCTTCATTGAGGAAAGGGTCAAATTTTCCTACAGTGACATTTAAAGGCCCATAATGCTATTTTCTGATCTGTTATAATGTTGTTTTCTCATCAAAAACATACCTGAACTTGTGTTAAACAAACAAACCTGCATATTTAGTTCTTCTCTCAAACAGATAAAAAGGAAGTGCTCAGCTATGTTTTTATACTTCATACACCTTCCCTAGAATCATTTGGATCATCTCAGCCTTGAAATTGCCCATCTCTACTGAACAAAAGGTAAAAGGTAGCTGTTAACTTGACATCACAAGATGGAACAGAGCATTTTAAACTTTGGAGACGCAGACAACCTAACAATGCAGGGTTACTCAAACGTGTGAATGAAATAAAACACGACTTCATGTATGTTTTTGACAAGGTAAAAAATTCTAACATTGGTAAAAGTTCACAAAACTCCATTTAGCGTACAACAGGAACTTTAACCTTACCTTAACCTTGCATCTGCAGTATTCTGGGTGGAACATATAAGAATGTACTTTGTCTAGCCATGATTTCAAGAGGCTATAAGTGTTTAGTGTGTGGATTTGAGCCTCACTGACAGCTGTTGCTTTAAAAGACAGTGATTGATGACACTGTGCTACCGGCAGTGTATATACTGCTAAAGACTCCTCACATCGTCCTTCCCACTCACAAGGATCTACACGAGTGATCTGAGAGATGATTTACAAATGGCTGTTTTGTGGTGTGTTTTTTATCTTTTCCTCCACTTCACGAAAAAGGCCTGAGGGCTGTAACTGCCAAAATACAAGCACTGCTAAGCTTTTTGTGTAACTTGACGTTTCAGAGCAAGAACACCAAGAGGCTGCCAAACAGTTGTCGACGTGCACTTTCTTGGAGATGTGCTGAGGTTTTCAGAGAACAACGAATGCATTAAATATTAGACCTCACACGTAGAACTGGCTGTTCGCAAATTCATTGGATTTATTTAAACTTCCTCAATGTTAAAGGTCCTATATTATACACAATTGACTCTTGTGATCTTTAAGCCACGTTACAATGTTGTTACTTCATCAAAAACACACCTGGAGTTGTGTTTTCTAATCCTTTATTATTAGTCTGTCTACATCTCCAAAGCACAAAATGCTCCACCTTGTGATGTCATGAAGGAGTAGATGTCATGAAGGAGTAGTTTTCAAGTGAACAGTTTCGCTTTTATTCAGTAGATAGGGAATTCTAGTGGCAAATGATTCTAGTGAAGGTGTTCTGAGTTTCTAGTACAGAGTTTAAAAACACTTCCTGTACTGGCATATGACAGCGGAGTGGAGTGTTTTCTGAGAAGTATTCAGCCTTAATAAGCAGAATGGAATAAAACACTCCAGGTATGTTTTTGATAAGGAAACAGCAGTATAACAGATCACAAAATAGCATAATTAAAGTAAACAGTGCTTAAGGTCCTCTACTCATTGATCAGGATATTTAAACAGGTTTGAACACCAACTCTCCACCAACTCTACTCCATATGTGACAACTATTACAAATCAATATGAAGATATGCCCACAAAGAACCATGAAAGCCAATGTTCTTCACAAGGTAACTCAAAGGTTGTTGATTAGATTTAAGTAACACTCAATACTAATTAAGTTATCAAGCTAAGAGTGGGCCCTTGCTAACTGATAAACAATCACTTCAGATCCAAAATTGCAAGGGCATTACAGACAGAGTAAATAAAAACAAAACAGTGAGTGCAGACAAAATGTTGCTGAGGGGCTGACCTACTTAAAACCCTTCATTTTTTTGATACATTTTTCATGCCCCCGCTGAATACCAGATAAATAAACAATGAGCTTTTCCCTTTATATCTGTATTTCATTTTTGAAACAGCCACTAGACTAATATGTTTCTGGATCAACTATAGCCCTAATAAAACTAAATAAGATCTCCCATTTGCCAAAGAAAGGACAACCAAATCAAGACTGCCACCCACTACAGATCATATAATCCTTTGAACCACAGTGTTAATCTGTCCTTATCAGCATTTCATAAGCAATAACATCATATTTCCATTGATGTTGTAACGAAATGCTTTACTGTAACACACTGAAACTCCCATTGGCTAATTCAGTTTTTGCTAGGCAACTGAGAATACAAAACAATTCCTATTCAAGACTCAAGATTCAACATTTAAGACTCAAGATATAAGATTCAAGATTGATTGACATTATCATAGAAAACAACAATTAAGTTTAGAACATCAAACGCTGCATAGTTTTGATGTAAAGTGCAATAGCAAAGGTGCAATTCCATTCAATAACCTGTGCAGGCCTGTGACGATAACAAATTTTTTGCACGATATATCGCTACAGAGACGTATTGCGATAAACAATAATACTGAAACTACTTCATGCCACTGACACCAAGCAGGATAATCCCGCTAAATTTATTTTTAAATATGCAGCATCATTAAAAACCAAGAGCTGTAATACACATAAATGGCAGATTGAACCAGTGATTAGCCAAATAAGTTATTTATTGTACCTCAAATCCTCTTGTATTACATAAAAATGGTAAAAAAAAAATCTCCCCACTATTGCAAATAAATTGTACACATGATAAATACTGAGCCCCAAAATATATTATTCCAGTTTTCACATAGTAATTACCATGATAGGACTGCTCCTATAAAAACACATTTATTTGCTTCAATACATGCATGCATTTATGTTTCTGATTTCTAGTCTTCCCTCAAATTTTCCAAATACGACCAAGTAACAGACATTCAGTGAGTGATGGGTAATTACAGTGGGTCGATTACTTTGACGTTAGCCTTCAGTCCCAGAGCCATCAAGAGCAGGGGTCTTCAGTGGTTTGCACAAAAACAGCTCAAAGGCAAGCAGCTGTCACTAACATGGCCCTGGCTCCACATACGCCTTCAATCCATGTACAGAAAGTCAATACTACCAAACATTACTCAGCTGTATTTTAAGTCAGCTGATAAAAGGTATTTGAACTCAGATACTAAAAAGGTCTATTTCTGGGAGTGGCATTAAAGGAGCATTTGTGTGGTGCATTTTTGAACTAAAGGTGGATTAAACAAAGCTTAAGGTTTCAAGTTCAAGTCTTGGTATTGTTTTTGTCCTGTAAAACAAGTTGGACAGTAACTATTGTTTGCCAAATATTTTCAGTTCCTGAAAATGTTTTGGTTGTGGTTCAAGTATTACTCAAAATGTAAATAGACCATAAAATGAAAGGTTCTATTTTACATGAAATTGACTTTTGTAAGCATTAAGCTATGTTATAATTACCTCCTCACAAACATAGCTGGCATTGTGTTTTGCTTCATTCACACATGTGAACACAGTAATCCTTTATTATTATTAGTCCAAAGCTCAGAATGCTCTGTTCCACCTTGTCATGTTGTGAAGTTAACCGTTACCTTTTACATTTAGTTCAGTATAGACTGACAATTCCATGGCTGAAATCATCCAAATGATTATAGTGATAATAGTGATTATGGACTTTAAAAACACAATAGAGCACTTCCTGTATTGCC